TTGGTGTGCAAGTACAGGATGTGGTGTTTCTTATAATGATCATATACAAAATACTTCAAATCTTACAAAGTCTTTTTATATGTTTCATTTATATTATTGTATTGCCAGAATTTTAAAAGAACTTAAATCACCTTTACCAACAGATTCTTCTTTCTGTTATTACAAGAACCCATATGACAAAGCTGCATATCAGAAATTATGTGATGAATTTAATATTTCTCCAAATACAAATTGGAGACAAAAACTAGAATCATCATGTCAAGGATTAGGAAGTTTTGAGCAATATTATAAACCAAGTGGAGAATATAGACAAAGAAATAAAATTAAAGGACCTTTCTTTAGTACTCATGATACTATTAAGCATGAAAAAGATATAAGTATGGCTTGGACAACATTTATTTTAGATAACTCTAATGGGTTTACACAAGCAGGTATTGAACGTATTAATGAAAGTATTAAAATTTATGTATGGGCTTTGTTAGGTGCACAATCTCAAACAAAAACAAAAATTTTAAAAGTAGGAACAGGATTTGATGCACAAAAACAATTCTTAGCAAATGTACAAGATGTAATAAATAGTCCTATCGATTTACCCACCCAGATATCGAATTATGAAAATGTTTTAAAATATGCAAGAAGTAAAGTTGATTATGCTTATGGACTTGGTTTATATATGTCTCCCAGTGATATGGTTTTACAAATTGGAAGTATTGTTGGTTATAATAATAAAATTATAATTGCAACAGAAAATCAAACACTTGGGTTAAATGATGATTTAAATAATAAAAATTTTGATCATGTTGATTTTAAACCAAAAGAACCTGTAAAACCACAAGAACCTATAAAACCTGAAAAGCCTAAAGAACCAAAAATAGATCCAATAAAAAAAATTGAACATGAAGATCATGAAGATAATAAACAAGCAATAATATTTGTAAGTATTGTAATAGGATTTACAGCACTTTATTTTTTCAAATAATCTCTAGCAGCAGTAAACAATAAACTAACAACTAAAATAAGCAATGCCCATAAGTTGTTTGCAAACCAATTTACTACGTCTTTTGTTGCAGACAATAACCAAGAAACAATAGAACCTATAATACCTGGTAATGCAGCTGCTAATTTTCCTGCAAGAAAAGATAATAATTTTCCAAGATTTTTTAATTGTTTTTTTATCCAGTCTTGTACACCACCACCTTTTGATGGAGGAGAAGGAGAAGGAGAAGGAGAAGTAGTTCCACCAGTAAATGCTTCAACAATAACACCAATAATAATTCCAAAAGCAGTTAAAACACTAACTATTGTTATTCCTTGTTCTCTGAATAATGTTCTTATTCTTTCACCTAATGTTTTGTCTTCGTTTAACATTTTATGTATTGTTTGTTTAAATCTGTTTACTTGACTACGTAGTTTTTCTTTATTAATATTAATTACTTCTAGTCTTGCACTTCTCTCAGATTCCAATTCTCTTATTCGACTACTTATTCTATCTATTTGAAATTTATTATTGTCTTCTTTAGCTTGTTCTAATTTGGCATTTTCTTTTGCTAAGTCTTTATTTGTTTCATTCAGTTTTGCTAAATTATTTGCAATCTCATCTTCCGCTGTTGTAAATGCTTTTATTATACCATCCATCTCTCTTTTTGTCATTTTTGTTTGTGTTTCTTCATTTATTAAAGATGTTCCTTGTTCAATAAATGAAGTTTCTATTTCTTTCACATATGTTTCTGCATTACTTGCTGTTTCTAATAATTCTTGTCCTTCTTCTTGTGTAGATATTTCTTGTAATGGAATTTCTATATTATCGAGTTCATTTAACATTCTCTGAAACCCTGCTCTACCTTCTCTTAAATTATCAGATATTTTATAATCATCTACACCTAAAACATCCCTGACAAAATTAACACCGTATTCTCTTTGAAGAGTGCTAAATTTATAAAACTTTAATACTCCTTTTTGGTAATATGTTAATGCAATATCATTACCTTTTTCATCTTTTACATATAAGATTTGTCTTCCCTTATGATTTTCCCCAACAAAAAAAACCTCTTCATTACGTATAGTTTCACCATTTTTTTTATAAAATTGTTTAATCATTTTTTTTGTAGTTTCTTTTTTACGAATTTTAACATCATTTTCTGATAAATCTCTTGATATTTCAAATTCCTTATTTATATTATTTTGAAACTCTTCATCATCTTGAAAAGACGTTTCTTCTTCTTCATAATCATCATCATAATCATTATTTTTAAACTCAGGATTATCAAACTCATAACCTCCTTCAGCCATTTTATTCATCTAAAATATTAGATAATAAACAATAAAAAGAACCTGTTAAAAACAACTTAAGATAAAAATAATTAAATTTTTTATTTAACATTATTTTTACATTTTTTACTAATTTTTCTTTTGTTTCTTCATCCATTTATTTAATTAAAAATTGATTCATAGTTTGGTGGATTTCCGTTATCAACTAAAATTATTTTATTAAAGAAAATCAAAGATTTTCCATTTTTTTTTTTAATTCGTTTTTTACTCTATTTTCTGTTTCCTCAATTAGTTTTTTTCTTTCATCATCTGGTAAACTTTTTAAAATTACTTTTTTTTTATTTTTTTTCATCTCATTAAATTTTTCTAATTCATCTAAAATAAGTTTAAATTCATCTACACTTATCTGTCCGTCAGTTAAAGATTTTGATATTAAATCTTTTATGCTGTTTAACTTGCATTCTGCCATTGTTTTAATTTCATAATGTTTTTTTGATTTTGTTGTCAACTTTCTTCTAATTAATTTAACTAGACCTCCTAAACTTCCACATACAACAGCTGCAATTTGTATGGGAAGTAAGATAGGAAAAGCTATTCCTATACCAGCTAAAACAACAGATGTCGAAATTAAACTTGTATCAACACCATCAGTAACATTAACTCCGCGTTTATATTTTTTGTATAGTGATTTACGTTTATCTCTCTCATTTATTAATGTTTTTTCTATTTCTGTTATTTTTTGTAGTCTATAATTTTGTCCATCTTCTATAGGTAATTCTGGATATAAATCAGGAGCTGTAGGTTGTTTCATTTTTTAAAGTAAAAATTGATTTTTTTTTTTTTTTCTCTTAAATCCCACAGAATTCTTTCTTCGCCTGTTCTCCCGGTTTTTTTATTTATTTTTTTTTGGAATTTTTTTGTTGTTTTTTGGGTGTTTTTAATAACGTTTTTTTCCAAAGTAAAAAAAAAATTTTTTTGGGAGTAAGAAAATTTTGGTGTTTTTGCGTTTTTTTTTGCTTTTTTTTTTATGAAAATTTAGGGCTCTTTTACTTGAAATGAGGGTAATTTTTTGGGGGTCAAATTTTTTTTTTTTGGAGGGGGGGGTATAGGTGTGTGATATTGTGTCCCATGAGAATGGTTTTTACGACCAGTTTTAGAAACTATATCAAAAATGTTAACAAAATCAGTTCTTGATATATTACCAATTCCCATGATATCATCATTAAGACCGAGAGGATAGCCTGTCTGTAATGTTTTAATCCAAATTATTTTCCGTGATCGTACAAACTTTGAAAGAGATTCCTTAGGCTGCTTATCAACTACTTCTAAAGGTTGAACAGTTAAATATTTAATAGGATGATTGTGTTTCTTAAGGTGTTGATAAATGATACTTTTGAATTTATGGGGTCTTTTAAAACCGATAAAGGTGTTCTTGCGTGCGTTTAGATAAATAGCGTCCAGTTTCACCTACGTACTGAATACCGCATCCCGGTTTGTGCGACCATTAAACGTGGACCTTACCGTATTGTTGGTGGAAAGACGGGGACATGTAAGTCATTGTTTGGCATGACTCTTATCGATAGAAGGGTAACCACGATTTTTATTATTAAAAACGTTAGCGATTGTAGTATTTTTAGATAAGCGATTTTGAAGATTGAGACGTGAAGATACCCTTTAAACGAGTTTGTTTGTTAAAAAATAACTTCAAGCTTCAAATGAATAGTCACTACAATATCAGTTTACTGGCTTCTAATCATCAACCAAGCAACACAAACACTGCTTAGCAACGGTTAAAAAAATGTTATGTGTGCCCTCTGGGGTATACATATAGTACTGTTTGAAGAGTTAGTTTCCCTAAACGGTTTTGCATTCTTGTATGGTATCTTAATTTTTTTCCCTAAGTTCAAACAATTCCAAACATCAAAATAGTAATACAATAAATAGGGAGCATTTACATAGAAGTACTGTTTTCAAGGAGGCCATGTCCTCGTTTCTCTCCCTTTCCTAAAGACCCCGCCACATGTATTATAAGACGAAACTGGCATTTTGGTTGGATACCTGTTTTTACAGTTTCGGAATTAATATTCCAAAAATAAATGTCACTGGAGTTTTAGTAATAGCCTCAATTTTACAAAGGTAGCCTGCTTATATATGTGTTTCTTGACCATACGAAATAAACAACCAATTAATTAACAGATTTTTTCCTGGTGTTGAAAATGGCAGCATACCTTCACAATTGCTTTCAAAAAATATGTCCTTCTTACCACAACTTTTAACTCCTCTGAAACCATTCGTCCTATTTGGGATTTGAAGGCAACACAACATCGAAAAAAATGTTACATCTATTTTCGAGGAGGAAACACTATTCAATAACGCATAAATCGCTGACAGATCTGTAAACCTCAAATATAATCCCATGGCAATAATTCATAAGGTATACATGTATTTGTATGTAATTGTATATTTAATAATTGAAAAAGGGTAGCGATTATATATAGCCACGCCGTACTCATTATTATGTTTAAACAACTTTCAGCTCTGCTTTTCATTCATTAAATACGTGAATTCTTAAAAGGCGTACTATATACTAGTATATATAACTTATTATACTGAATCAGATTCTTTTTTCAGCAGTCCTGTTCATTTTTTTTCAAAATGATATTTTTTAAGGTTATATTAGGTGATCATTTAAATTTAATGATAACAATGGAAAACATTTCTTATTTTTGTAGACAAGCAATTTTGGCCAAGGGAAGTTGCAGTACATAAGATTTTCAAAAAGATGTCAGAAAGTGGATCAATTCAAAGAGAAGAACTGTACCAGATTTGGAAACAAGAAGCTTTCAGTAAAATATTACCACACAAAAGGTATATATTCGAAATGCTTATCCATCTGGATATTGTTTCAGAGCAGCGTAGATATAACACAAAAACTGGACGTCGTCAATCAGGGATTAACTTCTTTGTTCCTTGTATGGTTACAGCAAGAAATACAACAAAGTTCATGACCGAGGAATGCACACCAAACAGAGCTATCGGTTTAGCTTTCACTTTTAAAGGAGCTATAATTCCTCCAGCTTTGCCAAACCGACTCTTCAGTGCATGTCTTAATATGTGGAATGTGAAGACCTATAGAGAACATAAAGGAAAAGATACCACTGGAGAAAAGAAAGAGATCAAACTCCTGTTTTCGGGATTTCTTGGCTTATCGTATGACAAGGCACATGATGTTGTTGTATGTGTTGAAGCCAACAGAATTCACCTTTACATAGTCCACAAGACCTCCAATGACCTAATAGTATCCGATATCGCCACTAGTATCAAGGAAAGCTTCTACATTACATTGGAGAGAATTATAGAATTCTATCAGTCCACAGTTCATGCCAGAACTAGCAGTTCAAACAAACCTTTCCAAATTGAATATTCTTGCTCCAAGTTAGAATGCTTCATTACTGAGGAGGAGGCCTTGCAAAGAGTCGAATGGGTGTGTGACAAGCATAAGTTGGTGCATAAAAGAAACCATTGGAACGTTTGGAATCAAGATCAGGTATATTTTAAAGATGAACTTTTAATAAGAGTGTAATAGTAACAATGCTCGTAGTTTTTAAATGGGAGGTATGTTTATCAAACAAATTTTCGCTGTTATTGATAGGTTACTAACATGGTCTTTGCAGAATTTACTTGCTCGGTATTCTAAATCTGCCTCAATGTTTTTTTTTCCGTTTTAACATTTTTGATATGCATGTACACGTACGGTATTTGATAACATTCTTTTACAGAAAACGTTTTCTTTAAGAAAAGAAAAGCATGAACATGTTCTTGCAATTCTAAACGTTTAGTCTATTCGGTTTTTACATAGGATTGCCGCATTATTCTTTCACTGAATATTGCCTAAGACTTCACCATAAATTACAACGTCGACGTTTTGACTATTTTAACACAAGTGTGCATGCTAATTTAACGCGTATGGCACTATTCATAGTGATAACAATATCTAATAATAACTTCCTCAAAACAAAGATAAATGTTCACGAGTTGAAAAAAAGAGGAGACCTAGCTCAATTATTCTATTGTAAAAGACAACATGAAGATTTTTCTGTGTTTTTTAGAGTAATATAATCGTATTTTCATTTCAATAAACCCTTGATATTTCTATCTTCTATGCACTTAATTTGGAAAATATCCACCAAGTCTGTATGATGCGCCCAAGTGTTAAACATACTGCGCATCTCGAAATGTGCGGTACAAAAACTGAATACCGTCCACGTTACCTTTCTAAGAATATCTGTGATATCATTCATGTGTCCATTACATCATGCTAGGTACTATACCTCATTCAATTATATAGAAATACCCTTCGAGTTATAGTAAGGGGAGTCAGTTCCATATCTTAAAAACTATACCATTTTTTTGGATTTCTTAGATACAGGTGAACCATGAATTTAAATGTTCAACAAAGTACACATTTTGTATAGCCTTATGTGCAGATTGTTGTAAAACCACGAAATCAAATATCCACGAATGTGCAACTAATCATATAAAACGTATAGGTATCGTATTGTTACGGAATGTTTGTGTTTTTGTGTCTGCTTCGTGCATGTATCTGTCTGATGCAACATTCTACGAAGAGCTTAGCTGAGGAAGTTGGTCAAGAAAATGACTTGATTGGCAATAAATAAAGAGTCTTTCATTTTCAGTATTACATGGGTTTTGTATGTTGATTTTTACTTTGCAAACTTTGTCTGCTTGCTACTTTTTTTAAACTGGGGAAAATAACGTTTTTAATCTCTAACTTAATCATCATTCAAAGACACATTATCAAAATAATATATATGAAGGTAACAAACCCGTTTCATGTAAAAAATTGTTCTTCATTAAATATAAATGCACTGTAGCAATCCAGTTTAAACCAATAGTGTTGTTTATTTAAAGTTGGAGTAGCCAACAACCCTAAATTATTGGCAGAATTATTTTAGAAAATCAAATGCTAAGCACCATGAAAGAATGAACATTGCCACACACCATCATTATAAATGTATTTTCTTATTATTGCATTTTTTAAGATATCAAATCAAACCTGCATTTTGTATGAGATAATCATGATAATGTCGTGGTATAAATCATGCAAAATCCTTAGAATTTATAAGAGGTCAACAATATGTTGATGATGTATCTTAAAACATAGAAAAGTAAGAGGATGATGCACAACACAGAATGCAGTCACACCGTTACTCTTTTGCTTTTCAAAATATATTCACGCTTTTAAGAAGATTGATCTCCAACAAATAAATGTGGTTGACCTCCTAGAAATTGTGAATCAGTAAAATAACAAAATTTTGAGGCTACAATGTCTTACTTTTACATAAAGCTCATAGAACAGGGTTTAATTGGAGATCTTATAATTTCAAACAAATCTTTCTGAATGCTTTTGCAATTTCACGAGTGTTCTATATACTTTTACCTCTGTTTTTGTATATACATAATTTGCATAGTCTTGTAGAGTATACAGATTACATATGTTTGTTTTCCTCATTCATATGCAGTCCCTTATGCATTAGTTGTACACACAGTCTGATAAAAATCAGTGAGATTTCCCATGACGTACCTGTAACCATATCTCTGTTACGGGCTATATAATGCTTCTCAAATTTTTACGCAGGATATACACACCTTCACCACATAATCTACATACACTAAAATAGTGCTACCAATACCACACAGTCTATTCTTATCATTTTGATCAAACCCAACGGATACGATAGGTCGGTTGTACAGTGTGAATACTTTTTATGTCGATGCAAAAATGATTTTAAAAACTATAATAGATAGGTAAAAACTGTACACAGCAAGGATATGCTTAAATAGAACTGAAACCATTGGATGACTTCTCATGAGATTAATTGCCCTTAAAGAATAACATGACCAATGTCATCGAAACCACTGGATTACTCCTTACAATTTATTTGCAACCTCTTGTTATCCTTTATAGACATAAGACAATATCTTATTGACTTTTTTTTATCTTTGTATAGACAAAAGAAGAATGTGAAGATAATTGTCAAGGTATGTACTTTGTAGAAAATTTTGAAAAATCTTTTACCGAAAACGTGGAATCTTGACATGTACAGCACCAACATTTGTATACACTCATCTTAGACGGAACGTTTTATGGTATACTGTAGTACGTCCCTCCATTCATCCGCCCATTCGTACATGTACATGCCCATAAGACTATTTTTTGATTATCTTATCACAATATCATCTTTTAAACACAACTCCTCTAAAAACTTTTTACAGACATCACTCATACCTGGTAAGATTGTTTGCCATCGTTTGTTGTTCACCATATAATACTGTCCATTTCATGAGTTTGGGTACCGAATTGTTTACACGCAGGAACAACACATTTACATTTGAATGACAAAATTAACAGCAACACCAATCCGAAGGAAAATGTTCATTGATAATGTAAGCAAATGTCCAATTGTAAAACTCTGTATCATACACACAATGCTAATCCTCATTAACACAGCTGCGGGTGACATTTCGCTACCGCCACGCAATCTAGTGATTTCTTCATCCCTTTGAAAATTTTATGGATGCCATCAAAATTTGGTCGACCGTTGAGGAATATTTGATTCACAGATGGCGACAGATATGTCCCAATTGTCTTAATTATAATCATGTCATCTTTTCCTCGATTATGAAATGACCAAAATAGACCTATCAACAAATGTGTACTTACATGAGTATCACGACGGGTGCCTGATTTTTATATCACCGAATGAAACTTATCACCGTCTTCTTTGTTTATATTTTTGTTATCATGGCGTTGTCAGGTTTTCTTCGATTTATGAGTTTTAAATATCCTCTTGATATCTTTCTCCTCTTTTGTAAAGTTTGGGAAGCAAAATATATATAAATTAACACTTGCATCTTAAACACCCAAAAAAGCCCTGAGTAGAGAGGTATGTTCAGTGCACGATGTAGTGACTATATCGCCGATATTGTCAACTTCGTTCATGATTTGATACCTGCTCGCAACATTGTCCACATCGTCCCCTTTCCTGTCTACATCGTTGACATCGCCGACCTCGTGATGTTGACAACATCGTGACGACATCGTCTACATCTTCCCACTTTCCTGTCTACATCGTTGACATCGCCGACATCGTGACGACATCGTTAACATCGTCCCCTTTCCTGTCTACATCGTTGACATCGCCGACATCGTGATGTTGACAACATCGTGACGACATCGTCTACATCGTCCTCCTTTCCTGTCTACATCGTTGACATCGCCGACATCGTAATGTTGACAACATTGTGACGACATCGTCTACATCGTCCCCCTTTCCTGTCTACATCGTTGACATCGCCGACATCGTGATGTTGACAGCATCGTGACAACATCGTCTACATCGTCCCCCTTTCCTGTCTACATCGTTGACATCGCCGACATCGTGACAACATCGTCTACATCGTCTCCTGTCCTGTCTACATCGTTGACATCGCCGACATCGTGATGTTGACAACATCGTGACAACATCGTTTACAGCGTCCCCCTTTCCTGTCTACATCGTTGACATCGCCGACATCGTGATGTTGACAACATCGTGACGACATCGTGTACATCGTCCCCCTTTCCTGTCTACATAGTTGACATCGCCGACATCGTGATGTTGACAACATCGTGACGACATCGTCTACATCGTCCCCTTCCCTGTCTACATCGTTGACATCGCTGATATCGTAATGTTGACAACATCGTGACGACATCGTCTACATCATCCCCCTTTCCTGTCTACATCGTTGACATCGGCGACATCGTGATGTTGACAACATCGTGACAACATCGTCTACATCGTCCCCCTTTCCTGTCTACATCGTTGACATCGCCGACATCGTGATGTTGATAACATCGTGACTACATCGTCTTTATCGTTTTTCTTGCTGTCTACATCGTTGACATCGCCGATATCGCGATGTTGACAACATTGTGACGACATCGTCTACATCTTCCCCCGTCTATGTCAACATCTTTGACATTGCCGACATCGCAAAATTGACAACATTGTAACAACATCGTCCACATCGTCCTACTTGCTTTCTACATTGTTGACAACGCCGATATTACTGTGTTAATTATACGATACACTCAGTATATGTTTCATAATTAGCATTGTACGACTTCGTATTTTGTCTTTTTAGTTGATGAAACTATAACTCTAGACCCATTTTAATGGAAGAGGAATGCCGGAAAAAAGTCTAAATTGGCAATTTCGAGGACTGATCTTTTCTAAATATATCCTTAGCTAGCTTTCAGTAACTGCAAGCTATCTTTTTTAAAAAGCACTTTTTGTATTTTATGTTTAATTGTCATGTGGCGTTTCCGTTTTGGATTGGATACATTAATGATGTATTTTTACTGTGGGTACTTTTTGTATTTTTCTTTTTCATCTCTGACCAGGCAGAGGGGGACGGTTTGGATCCAACAAAAGTCTGTTTAACTCCACCGCATTTATATGCGCCTGTGCTAAGTCATGGACTGCTATTTCTCCTTATTAATGATTACAATCAATAATATAATATTAAAAACCAATTGTTCAAAGAACAATTGAAGGTATTTCCACATCAATTTTCTAACTAACTGATAAGAAGCTTTGACCTTGACCTCATTTTCTAAGTTAGGACCTAAGGACCTGAAATAAACAGGCTATAGGTTTATACGGCTTACGGTTTATGAGTTACAAAAACTTAACGACAAATGTATTTGATAAAGGTAGATAAGTCCTATAAAATTTCACCGGATGGCTTCGATCCAAATCAGCCAAAATTTTTTACGGATTTCACGAACAAATATGAAAAAGAATTGTGTCGTTATCTTTTTTGTTACGGAGGAGATACACTAACAAGAAAAAAAGTGTTTGGAGAGATAACTCTTACCATAAAAAGTCTTCGCCTTAACAAGATAAGTTTTTAAAAGCGCAATAACTGTTCGATACAATATCCAAAATATCTAAGTGACATCTTGCGAGACAACTTTATACCGCAAGAAAAGGGTTTGGCGGAAGAAGAAAAAAAAATAATAATCAAAGAACAATTGAAGGTCTTTCCATATCAATTTTCTAAATAATTGATAAGAAGCTACTTCTGGTTTACACAAAGCTACTATTGGCGTCCAATCATAGGTTTCTTTATACTGATTCAATACACATATGGTTTATATAGACTTTTACCTGAAATAAGGGAAATAATTGCCAACTTCCGGTTTAGAAAATGTCACTTCCGGTCTCATATGATAGATTTATTCACACTGATTTCAAAAATATATAGTTTGCATATACTTATGCCTGTAATAGGGGACATAATATGCTAATTCCTGTTTATAAAATGTCACTTCCGGTCTTAAATGATAGGTTAATGTATGACCATTCAAAAAATATATGCTTTCTATTTACTTTTACATGAAATAAGCGCAAAAATTACTACATCCGGTTCGCTCAAGGTTACTTCCGGTTGACGTTTTTCAAGGTCATATGTCACCCAACATTTTTCAAAAGATTGTATGGCTTTTTCATGTACCAATCTGAAGAAATAATCAATTTACCTTAAAATAAAACATTTCAGGGGCAATAACTCCTATCAGATGTCATTCGATTGATTCAGATCAAATGTATCATATCTTCATCACAATATAACAAACAGTTTTTACTAGTTCTTTTATATATAAGGTTAAAAATATCGGAGAAAATGCAAAAACAAGCAAAAGACAAAATTCAGGACATGATCTTGACCTTTGACCTTGACCTCATTTTCTAAGTTAGGATCCAAGGACTTCAAATAAAAAGACTATAGGTTTATACGGCTTAAGATTTATGAGTTGCAAAAACATAACGACAAATTTATTTGTTAAAAGGTAGATAACTCCTATAAAATTTCAACCGATCGCTTCGCTCTAAATCAGACAAAAATTCCTTAGGACGTAACGAACAAATATGAAAAAGAATTTTGTCGTTATCTTTTTTTGTTACGAAGGAGATACGCAAACAAGAAAAACAGTGTTTGGGGAGATAACTCTTACAATAACAAGTATTCGCCTTAACAAGATGAGATTAAAAAGCGCAATAACTGTTCGATATAATATCCAAAATATCTAAGTGACATCTTGCGAAATAACTTTATACCGCAAGAAAAGGGTTTGGCGGAAGAAGAAAAAAAATAATAATTAAAAACCAATTGTTCAAAGAACAATTGAAGGTCTTTCCACATCAATTTTCTAAATAATTGATGAGAAGCTAATTCTGGTTTACTCAAATCTACTATTGGCGTCCAATCATAGGTTTCTTCATACTGATTCAATAAACATATGGTTTCTATAGACTTTTGCCTGAAATAAGGGAGATAATTGTCAACTTCCGGTTTAGAAAATGTCACTTCCGGTCTCATATGATAGCTTTATTTACACTGATTCCAAAAATATATGGTTTATATATACTTTTGCCTGTAAAAAGGGAGATAATTGGCTACTTCCGGTATAGAAAATGTCACTTCCGGTCTCATATGATAGATTTATTTACACTGATTCCAAAAATATATGGTTTATATATACTTTTGCCTGTAAAAAGGGAGATAATTGGCTACTTCCGGTTTAGAAAATGTCACTTTCGGTCTCATATGATAGCTTTATTTACACTGATTCCAAAAATGTATGGTTTATATATACTTTTGCCTGTAAAAATGAGATAATATGCTACTTCCGGTTTATAAAATATCACTTCCGGTCTCAAATGATAGATAAATGTATGACATTCAAAAAATATATGGTTTTTATGTACTTCTACATGAAATAAGTGCAAAAATTACTACTTCCGGTTCACTCAAAGTCACTTCCGGTTGACATTTTTCAAGGTCATATGTCACCCAACATTTTGCAAAAGATCTTATGGCTTTATCATGTACCAATATGAAGAAATTATCAATTTACCTTAAAATAAAACATTTCAGGGGCAATAACTCTAATAAGATGTCGCTGGATTGTCTCAGACCAAACGTATCATATC